AAAAACCGTGTGTGGGGGGCGGGGGGGTGGGGGCGGTGGCTTTGGAAAGAGGCTGCAGTTGAGGAGGAAAAGAGTAGGGTCTGGAAAGAAAAGAAGCAGAAGTGGCTCTAACAGGGAGCCTGCTGTAAACAGGCGTCAACTGACTTGGCAATGCCAGCTTTTGGGTTTTTCCTCCCAGCTGAGCAGGGCCAGGGCCACTCCGCCACACCTCCTTCTTTTCACATAGTCCAGCTTGGGCTAGAGCGATGCTATTACCCCCGAAACCCACACACGCACGCCGGGGAGCTGGGGCGGTGGCAGCGATGGTAGTCTGGCAGCCCTCCGGGCGGGTTCGGGACAGAGGAGGAGGGTAGGCAAACGCTGGATAAAGGAAGTAACTCTCCGGGTGGCGATGCCAGACGGAGTATTCAAGAAAGGCGGTTACAAGTGCGGCGAGTGTGTGTAAAAGGGGTGTGTGTGAAGGAACGGCTGGGGTGCCCGGAAGAGCTGGGGTCATAGGCACAGGGCCGGAAGGGACCCGGCAGGGGCTCAGCGCGCGCGGGGGCCGCGTCCGCGAGAGGACGGTTGGCGCGTACCCCACCGCTCCTCGGCCCGCCGCCGCCGCCCGCAGGCCGGCCCAGAGAAGAGCTCAGTTTGGTTGAAAGGGTATGTGAACCGAGTAGAGAACGCGGGTCCCGGCGCGGGAAGGGGGCGTCAGAGGGCACCCAGAGAAGGCTTGAGGGGGTATGCCTGAGCTCCCCACTCAGCACCAAGAGGGAGCTCGCGGCTCCCAACCTCGCCAACCTCTTCTCCTTACCTTGGGCACCGTGATGTGGTCCATGACCGCGGTTCCCGCCACCTGAAGCCCTCAGTGGTCCTAAGGCTACCGCCAACGCCAGAGTCGCCTTTGCCGCCTCCTCGTCGAACCCGGACTCCGGGCCCCGCCTTCGCTGTCTTGGCTCGAGATCTCGTCACCTGATCCTCGCGGAAGGTCCTATCGCGATACTTCTCCTGTGGTCTCTTCTGCCATCTTGCTTTCTGGCAAATGCCCTTTTCTCTGGGGGCGCTGTTCTGGTTCAAGCTCCCTAGGTTTGGCCCTGAGGTTTTTAAGTTTCCGAGTACCGCCACCTTTCTCACACCCCTAGACGCTCTAAGGATTCTGAGCACCGATATCATTCCACTACTGTTTAATGTTAACAGTGATGGCACCCTGCAGAGATAAAAAGACTGTCCGTTAGTGGCAACAGAATTTCTGAAGAGCTTCCTCGCTGAAAGACCTTGGGCAAGTCACTGTAAAATATTTTTTGAAATGGTTTGTAAACATATCCTTCTCTCACTCCCCTCCTTTACAAGTCTACTGCAATCAACCTAGCTAACGCCTGAACAGTTGCATTAGCCTCATAACTTTTGTCATCACAGATGTGGGAAAAGGACAAATGGCCCACTGGACCACATCTCAGATGAGGTGAAGATAGGTGCAGTCACTCAGTGGTGTTCTCTGAATCAGATTTGTGATGGGAAAAAAAAAGTCTGGGAGTTGGAAAACCTGGGTTTTACTCTGAAGACTGCCACTAACTTGCTGTGTGACCGTCAGCAAATCATATCACCTCTCCAGGCTTTAAGTTGACCAAGGTTACAATGAGGGTATTGGCCACTATCTCTAGGGTCAGTTCTAACTCTACGATTGTGGGGCTATGGTTTGGAATTTCACCTCCCCTACAAAGTGATTTCTTTCCTTTTTTAGTGTCCATAACACTTGCTAATTAAACTACTCATTCATCATATTCTGCCTTCTTCCCTAGCCTAAAAGTCCTTCCCTCAATCTATGGCCCAATTATCCCTTCAGCAGTCATTCCATGAATTTCAGTCCTTTTACTGCCAAACCTCTCAAAAGAATAGTCTACACTTATCATCACCTCCACTTCATAACACACTCACTCCCCGCCTAATCACTTCAGTTAGTGCTTTTATGTCATCCTGAACTCCAGTTGCTGCATACAACAGCTCTTCTCAGTGCTCACTCTCCGATTGTTTTGCAGCATTTAACACTGTTGATTCATATTCCTTTTTGACACGCTTTCTTCCCTTGGACTTTGTTATAAAGCAGACTCACTGCCTGCATCCCTAACTGTTCCTTCTCTGCCTCCTTCCCAGCTCCTCTTTGTCCTTCTTTAGCCATTTGCCTGGCTTCTGGCCTCATTCCTCTTCTCACTGTTTTCTTTTCCTTCGTAATCTTGATCTCTGCCTCAAGTTCAGTTCTTACACCCTGGTGGGGGATTCCCAAATTTACATCTCAAGTCTTGAGACCTTTCTTCTGAGTTCAAATTTGAAATTCCAATTGTCCCCTGAGAGTTCCACTTGGGTGTTCCTGCTAGCATATTAAAGGCATCATGGCCAAAAACAAACTCATCTTTCACACCCTCCTCCTGACTCCTGCACTCTCCCACCCCTGCCACCTGCTCTTTCTCAAGATTTTCCTATCCCTATTATTGCCACCAACATACACCCAGTTTCTCAAACTCAAACTTCATTTCCATGCTGTTTGGAATAGTGAAAAGGGGAGTATGGACTCTGCTATTTGAAAATGGTACATGATCCTGGGCAAGTTACACAACCTCTCTGGGTCTAAGTTTTCTCACCTGTAAACCCATTCTAATAAAGTGCTTGTGAGGATTCAATAAGGTAACATATATAATAAGGTGGCAGGAACATCATAAGGACACAATGAATATTGGTAGTTACCTTCCCTTCCTCGACTTGATTATTAAACATGTCTATTCTTCTCTCTCACAGATGATTACCTTGCTCCCTAGTTGGCTGATAAAATGCAAGTCATCAGAAAGGAACTTTAACATCCTCTCACAATCAAAGCTTGCTGCCCTGCATGTGGACCTATAATCTGCCTTCAGTGAATCAGCTGTTCCTCAGCCTTCCTAAGGCAATTGTCCACTCTATTTCATCTTCCTTCACCTACTCAGTTGCCCCCTCTTTCCTTTATCACTAAACATTTCCACTTTACCAGATCATTTCCATCAGCACAAAAACATGCTATAGTTTCAATTTAAAAAAACAAAACAAAAAAAAATACCTTTCCTTGATCCACATTACTCTCCCCTGCCTACCACCCCTCATTTCTCTGTTGCACCTTATAGCAAATCTCCTCCAAAGATTTTTCTAAACTCACTCACTCCCCCACCCTTCTTTTCCTCTCCTAGCACTCTCTCTTAAAACAACTCTAATCAGGTTTTGCCCCCATTTATCCAACAAACTGCCTTTGTCAAGTTTACCAGTAATTTCCATATTGCAAAATCTATTGGTCAGTTCTCACCTCTTCTTGTCTTCTCAGCAGTATTTGATCACTCCCTTCCCCTTGATAACATTTTTTTTGCATTTGACTTCAGGGATACTGTTCTACTTCTCTGACTTCTCTTTGCCAATCTCCTTTGTTGTTTATCCCTCGTCTTACCTATCTCTACATGTTGCAATGCTGCCAGGGCTCAGGCCTTAGTCCTCCTCTATTTACCCTTATTCCTTGGGTGCTGTCATCCAGTCCCATGCCTTTAAATACTGTTTATTTCTAGACAACATTCAAAATTTTATCTCTAGTCTTGATCTGTCCTTGGAACTCTTAAACTTACATAATATCCAATAGCCTACTATACCTGTCTACTTGGATGTTTTAGAGGCATCTCAAACTTACCATATCCAAAAAAGAACTTTTTATTTCTACCTGCCTCCTCAACTCTGCTCTTCCCATATAATTTCTTATCTCAGGAAATGACCACTCTATCCTCCCAGTTGCTCAGGCCAAAAGCCTTAGAGGCATCCTCTTTCTCTCATATGCCAAGCCTGAATCATCAAATCCTTCAAAATGTTCTCCAAATCCAACCACTTCTCACCCCTGTACCCTGGCCCAAGCCTCTATTTATCTTGCCTGGATTATTGTCACAGTCCAGTCTCTGTGTTTTGTCCCCGCCCTCTCTAGAATCTATTCTCTACACAGCATCTTCTAGACTCTAGTATCTATGGTGATGTCAGTCCTTTTCTCAAAACATTCCACTGGCTCCCCATCTCAGAGTAAAAGCCAAACCCTCAATCATAGCCTATGAAGCCCTACATATGATCTAAGCCCAGTACCTCTCTGACTGCATCTTCTATCATCTGGTTCTCTCTCAGTTCAAGTCATATTGATCTTTTTGCTGTTTCTCAAATATTCCAGACATGCTCCTGCTTCAAGGCCTGTACACTTGCTGTTAGCCCTCTGCCTGGAATGCCCTTCCCCCAGATATCTACATGTTAACTCTGACTTCTCTGTCAGGTCTCTGATCAAATGTCACCATATCAGAGAATCCTTACTTGAGCATCTTATATAATATAAAACCACCACCACTTTGGCCCCAGCATTCTCTACCCTCCTAATCCTTTTTCTTCACATTTATCAGCACCACCTGATATATTATAAATGTCTTTGTCAGTTATTATTTGTCTCCCCCTCTAGGGATAGCGTCTTCATGAGGGCAGGGACTTTTTGTTTATTGCTAGATCTCCAAATTCTATACACCTGGCACACAGTAAGGATTCAATAAATATTTGTTGAATAACTGAATTTTCCAAGCTATCCCAGGTTTTCTCCACCATTAATTTTAGCCATCTGACTAACTGTCCCTCCTTAAGGCAAGTTGGTATCATTTCAGAGGAAATTAAGGCACAGGCAATGATTTGCCAAAGGCTACAAAAGAGTCAGAAGTCAGACTGAACCCCACAGAAGTAGAGGAAGCTTGGGAGTAAGAGGAAAAATCTGGAAGAAGAAAATATTAGACTCATAAAATATTCTCAATGAAAGGGATACTATTATTATCTATTTGTTTGTCTCCTCCCATTATGATGTCAGCTCCATACGGTTTTTCGCTTTGCTACTATACCCCAGTGCTTAGAAAAGTATTTAAAATATAGTGGATGCTTGATAAATCCTGGCTGAGTGACTAGATGAGGATGAATGACTCTAGAGTCACAGCTGGTGTGGGGCAGAAGAGACTAGAGGGAGAGAGTCTGGAGGCAGGGAAACAATTTGGAGGCTTTTTGGTTGTGAACCAATGAGCCTGTGGGATTTTTGACTTTGTACCTAGCTCTCAGGTCTCAGCATGATTAGCCACCATCTGAACATACTAGTTGCTGCAGTAAATCTTACCTGTCCTGCTTTATATCCAAATCTCCAACTCATTTGTTGCTCATTTATTTTCTACTTCAAGGGGTTTTCCAATATTGGGGGTTGGTGTTCTTTCCATGGTATCCTAGGGAGATAAATAAGTGTATTTTGCCCCATTATCTCACTAGCTAGACCTACAGCCTCAGAAACCTACTGCCAAAGGTCACCCATGATGTGGTGGATGATGACTATTTAACAAGTCACAGAGCCTTTGTGACCTCACTCCTGCTCTAGAGGTAGCTTGGTAACTCACAGCAGAGGGCAGCTGACCTCCTCCATCTTGCTGCCGGGAGACATCATCAGAAACAGACTGCATTTTAAGCTTATTTCAGTCTCTGTTTATCAGTCAGTCATCTTGAGCCAACTGCCAACCAACGTCTTTCGAAGACCATCTTGCTAGAAAGGACTTTATTCATCTTTTATAGACAGCCTACTTGAATCATGCAGTACATGAGGGATCTCAGCAAAGAGGTCTGGCAAGACTGCATCACCCTCTTCCTACAGACTGGGATATGCTGTGATGCAGCGATTGTCACCAATTCTCCACCCTGGTTGTTAGCTTCTTATCCCAAAGGCAACTTGTTCCAGTTGACCCAGGAAGAAATTCAGATCCTGCTGGCAAGAGAAGGGAGAGAGAAGTTGTTTCTTCAGGGAGTCACTCTTGCGGGGACTAAATGCTTGTTGATCCGAGACAACCTGTACACTGAGGGCAACAATAC